AGTAAGATGTGAAAAATATTCTGGCTCTACACACTGTCGCTGCCTTTTGCTTCTCTTGCACTTGATGCCTCTCCTGTCCCCGCCTGTCCCCGCCGTGTCTTCTGCGTCCTGGTTGGAGCAGCTGTGTGGTCAGACTGGTTGAAATAAACCCTTAATCCACAGAGTTGGATGTGATGTTCTGCCTGTACAGCAGGTTTTTTGTCGACCGTTCTTTGGCTCAGAGTGTGTAACATTACTGTGCCTCTGAACGTCCCTCGCTGTGTTAGCGGCTCTCGTTATTCAGAGGCATTAAATTAGCTAAATAAAATAATAGACTACAGCAATCACTGATAGCTGATATATTTGTCCAGTTGCCATCAACAATGAGGTATTTCCTTGGGTTTATTACATAAATATTCCTCAGTCTCCCCATTTACCATGTACAAGCTGTTTTCCCCAGAGCTTTCCACAGTTGTATGTGGTCTTGAAGTCAATCGTAGGCCAGCACAGACAGGGGATCCTAGAGGTGCTATAGTTAGGATCCAAACTGCTACTGAGGCTAAGATTGTGGCTCATATGGTTGTCAGTAAGATTGAAGTTGGAGTATTCCACATACTGTGTGAGTGTGAGGCTCCAGAATCACTAAATAGCATCATGTCAGCAATAGAGAGGAGAAAAATCTGGCCTTTATTTAAGGGAGGATAACCTTCACTAGAAAATATCTTACATACATGTCAATCTTAAAAACTAGCTAAATAAGGAAGCAGCAACCAGCCACTTTGGATTAAATTCATCTCTCTATCCTTATGGGGACATTTGATAGAAAACACATGCACATTAACACATAACACTGTCTGTGACGAGACTGTTGTTGCTAAGCTGTAGCCATGTTCTCCAAACCAGGTGTGAGGGACATGAGAGCACACACGCACGCGCACACACACACACACACACACACACACACACACTCTCTCCTCATACTTAACACACACACCGTGAGGGGAACATCGGAGCTGCACCAATATTTGTGTTTTTACGGCTGTCACGTATTTGTCCAAGTCCTTGTCGCTGCTCTCCACATCTACCGGCAGCAGGTGTGAACAACTCTTGTGCTGAGAGGGACGCACTCTACTGCCACCCTGTCAGAGAGAGAGCCATAGACACACACACGCACTCAAGCCGGGGTGGGGGGAGGACTGAGGGGGGAGGGAGAGGGAGAGATCAATAGTAGTGAGTGTGGAGTTTGGATAATTACAGTTGTTAGCAGGGAGAGGAGAGCAGCTATAGTGGCCTCTCCACTCAGAGTCTCTTATCACTCTCTGGCCTGTCATTACAGCTTTAAATGCTGCTGTAGCAAAGTGGCAACTGTCTGTGTGTCTGTGTGTGTGTGTGTGTGTGTGTGTGTGTGTGTGTGTGTGTGTGTGTGTGTGTGTGTGTGTGTGTGTGTGTGTGTCTTTTTTCCTCTCCTCCTCTTTTTACCTCCCCTCTTCTACTCTTCATATCTGCTCTCCTTATTTCTCCTCTTCTTGTTTCTGCTCTCCCTTCCTCTCGTGTCCTCCTCTCTCCTATCCTTGTTTCTCTGCTGTATATCTCCTCTCCTCTCTTTATTTCTCCTCTTCTTGTTTCTTTTCTTTCCTCTGCATACAGTATCTCCTCTCTACTTCTCTTTGCACCTCCATTCCCCTTCTGTCCTCTCCGTAGTCCGGTTTCACACATGCAGTTCAACTCTGAACTCACCTACACATTGCCCGGAAGAGCTGTATGTAGGGATGAGTATCTTTAGGATGTTCTACTCGTATTGATGCTACTAGATATCATTTGGTGCAAAAAATAAAGATGTGACATGAAAAGATTGTAACTTTACTGGCAGTGTAGCTTGTCCTGAAGCTTATCAGTATTTTGGTACTGACCAGTTAGGAACCAGTACCTCACCACTAACAGTTATTTGTCATCAGATTTCCACACAGTCAGAAAAAGTAAAAATGAGAACACGTGAGAACATGTGAGAACACTCTGACACAGACAGTGTGCTACGTGTGTGAAAGGACAAATTCAAAGTCCCGACCTGATTCTTGTTGTTCAAAGTTCATACATGAAAACGACTTACATCTCCTCTCCTTTCCGTGTCTCCTCTCCTCCTTTTTAACTTCCTGTCTTCTCCTCGCCTCTTTTCTCCTTTATCTCCTCTTTCAATCTCCTGTCCTCTCTTCTCTCATCTACTCTTTTTGATTTCCTCTCTTACTTTGCTTATTCTCCTCCATCACCTTCTTTTTTATGCGTTCTCCATCTGATCCTCTCTTCGCTATCTTTTTCTTCTTTCTTCTCTTCCAATCACCTTCTGTCTTACACCTTCTCCAGTAATCAGTTTGTCCTCTTATTTCCCTTCACCAAACTTTTCTGAACTATCAAAGAAAGCTCTGTACCTCCCCTTTCCTTCCCATCACCCCCTTTTCTTTTTAATCTCTTTATAGTTTCTTTTTCTCTCCTCTGCTCCTTTCTTTATATATCGTTACATTTTTTTCTTTTTTCTTTCTTTCTCCTTCCTTCAATACTTACTTTATCTCTCTCTTATTTATCTCTGTTCCTCATCCAGACTGTCCATCACCTCCTCTCTTACATCTGCTCCTTAATCTCTCATCATCTCTCCTTTCCCTAATTTGCTCTCTCTTCTGTTTTCTTTGCCTCTCCTCTCCTCACATCCTCCCTTCCATCTCCTCTCTCATCCACTAATCTCTCTTCATCTCCCATCCCCTCCTTGCTGCTCCTCTACCTTCTTTGGCTCTTCCCTTCTTCTCCCTCCTCCTTTTCTGACACCGTCAGTGGTGCCAGGAAGTGGAATTTATTTTGGAGATCCACGCTCTTAATTTCTCGGAAAGAGACAGAGAGAGGTTTCGACTGTCCAGCCAGACAGGATTTTCTTAGTTGTTGAGTCCTGACACGCGACACTAAAATAGGCCTGGAGAAACTGGAGTTAAATCCCCTTTGGATTGCTGTGTTTGTTTCACCATTCTCTCTTTCCACACACACACACACACACACACACACACACACACACACACACACACACACACACACACACACACACACACACACCGTTGCGGTCTTGTTGATCTCCACTGATGTTGAGGAGCCTTGTCAGACATAAGAAGGAGATGAGAATGATGGCGAGAAGGATTAGATGGGCGCAAAACAACAGCGGTTTGTTCCCTCCGGGCTGTTTGCTCTGATTTAGATGGAGCAGGATTAGCTGAGGATGAGGAGATCAGAGTAGAGTGTGTGTGTGTGTGTGTGTGTGTGTGTGTGTGTGTGTGTGTGTGTGTGTGTGTGTGTGTGTGTGTGTGTGTGTGTGTGTGTGTGTGTGGTGTGTGTGTGTGTGTGTGGAAGAGAAGTGGGATGGTGATACGTAGACGCTTGAGGCAAAGCTGTCAGATATTTGACCGATTTTCTTGTTGTGTTCCGTAGGTGGTGCATTATATACCATGGAGGTTGCACACACACACACACACACACACACACACACTGATCATGCACTACATCAAGCACTGCAAAACATGGCAAAGTAAAGTTGAAAATATTGAACTTTATTGAAATCTTTTGGTTTAGATTCTTCTCTTTTTCCAAAATAAAATAGACCATGTTCACAAAATGGGTCAGAGTTTTTATAGCTTCACTTTCATGATGTTCTTGTAAATATTCACAGTTTGTGGTGTCAGTGCACTAGCAGATGGTCTAAAACTGTTGGTTTTGAATAAGTGGTGTGCGGTATTGAAGCCGATTGGGAAACGGAACTTCGTGAATGTGGTTTTGATTGTCAGGAAGTGCTAATATGGCGGCGCATGAAACGAGACTGTCAGCTGTCTCTCAAATCCCGCTGTGCGCTCTGTGTGTGTGTGTGTGTGTGTCTGTGTGTGTGTGTGTGTGTGTGTTAGTTACAAGCATTGAGTCGAGTATCACAATGAGACAGGAAATCACAGCGAGGATAAAAATTCTCTCTCTCTCTCTCTCTCTCTCTCCCTCCCCCCTCCTCATACAAAACACTCACAAATAACCCGCTAATCTCTGCCTCTGCCCGCGTGCCATTCAAGGCTTCCTCCAATTAAAAAGCATCGGGGAGTCGAACCCGCCATCTTATTTATCATATTAATTAGAAACTCCCCTGACAACAAAGAGAGGCCTACAGCTGTGGAGCAGAGGAGAGGCCTGGGAAATGAAGGATGGTTTGATTTGTTGTCTTGCTAATGTGACACCTATTATACAGGTTAGGCCTCAAATACAAAGACGCCACAACAGCATATGGTAATTGTAAGTGTGCACGTGCATGTGCAAGTGTGTGTGGGAAATATGTTGGCATCAAAGGACCTGCTTTGACAAAGTAGATTTTGTATTTAGTTAGCCACAGTTTGCTGTATTTTATATTGGTAACACTCTCTCATAAAGCCTTATATGGCTGCCATAAACCACTATACTGGATTATTACCACATACAACATGTGAGCTTTGGGTCAATATGGTCTTACTTCTGACTCGTCAAATACAAAGACGGTTAACATTCCTTCATCCCTTCCCTCCAAAATATACTGAAAAAAAGTGCTTGAACAGGAAAATACTGCATCAGTATAAAACATATAGTATAGTATATTTATTAGGGACATCCCGATCTGCCTCAAAGTAACTCATCACACTGACCTGTATGCATGCAGCTCTGCGTATGTGTGTTCGTTGACCATAGAAGGGCTCAGTGCCCACACAGTGCTTGCTGTTGTGGCAGGAAAACAGGAGGGAGGGTTTATATCCCCCTTGAGACGCCTTTACACACAGAATTTTTGTGGCACAGACACAGTACTTTCTTTAGTTATCTCACAAAGTTACCTAAACTTTGCCCTTACAGTGGCACCAGAGGGATTACTGTAAATGTACAATATAGCGAGGACTTGCTTATCAGTATCAAAAGCAATAAAACTGGCACCAGTTAGAGGAGGAAGTCTATCTAATCGAAATCTATCTTCTCCCCTATCTAATCAGGCAGTCTGCCAGCATAAGAGAAGGCAGAGGTGTTGCTGACCATGGTGCTGAAGCTGAGACTGTCAGCAGTGAAGGAGCTGTCCACAGTTCTGAAACGGTATCTCTCTCGATCTGTTTCCTATATACCTACAGTGTGTTTGTTTGTGTCCTCGTTAGCATCATCACAGTTCCTGGGGTTCAGTCCGCTGGCTGGCTGGGATTTTTCTGTGTATTTGTGTGTTTTCATATACTCACTGTCCTGCCACCGGTCCAAAGACAGTCAGGTTAGGTTAACTGGACGCTCCAAATTGTCCTTAGGTGTGTGAATGTTTGCCTGTCAGTATAAGTTTGTCTGTGTTCAGTTGGGCAACAGGACTGTGTGATTAAAAAGCAGCCCCTTCATTCACAGAGGACTCTGGCAGAAAGATCGAACCTTTCTCAGTGTTTGGTCAGTTTCTGGCATTTACTTAACACGGTTGTACAATTCTGTCTCATAGTGATATAAACTTTTTGGTGCCTTTTTATGTATTGGACAAATACTTTTTATTTTATTCTCTTATCATACCTGCCCCTGCAGCAACCCCCAATAATAAATCCCCTTGCATTTTCTTTTAATGCAGGGCTGTTTTGGGCCTGGCACACTGGGGACCTGTCCTGGGTGTAACCTGCCTCTTGCCCAATCTGAGCTGTGAAAGGCTCCAACCCCTGCAAAAGTTCAGTATAGATAATGGATGGAATTATGATGGTTTATTAATAAACCCTTTTAGATTTCATCACCTCTATTTAATCTCAAGGCATGTGGGTCTGTGTCACCTCAGTAGCTGTCAGGAAGAGCAGGAGGCAGGAAAAGAGATAAATGGAAAGAGAAAGAGATGTAGGAAAGGATGTTCAGATCTGGACTGAGACAATGATGAATGGGTTGAGGATATCTCCGCCTTAAAACAAGCCTCTCATTCTGTTTCTCCCTACAGTATTTTTCTTTTGAGCCACCAGCTATTGAGATTTGATAGACATTGTCAAATATATGTGTGTGCGTGTGAGTGAGTGCGTGTGTGTGTGTGTGTGTGTGTGTGTGTGTGTGTGTGTGTGTGTGTCAGTCCAGCCATCTGGTTACCAGGGCATTGTTTATTCTGTCACAGCTCAATATTTGCCCATCCATCTCTTATCCCACTGCTAATCCTGAGTGTGTGTGCTTGTAGTAAACTGTGTGAGTGTGGGTCGGTGTCATATTTTGTCTTGTATTGAAAAGAATGTGAATAAATCACATTTCTGCCTGTTCTTTTCGAAATGGAACAAAAGTTAAATTGTTCCTGGCAAATTAACCCTTTCAAATGTTTTACACAAGTTTTTGAGTTTTTTGAAATTCAGACTTGGTATTAAGTGTCACAGATGAAGTAGGAAGGACAGGTTAATATTAGTTTTGGTGTTTTTGTGATATTTGTTGAGAATTAGAGAAATGTAGAATAATACTTATCCTCTATCCATTGGTCTATTAGATCAGGTAGGGTTAAGAGAAGTTTGAATGTCGTATGGCTCCAGTAATGACTGAACTTGTTTATGACGTCTCAATTTAATAACGAAATGCAAGAAGAAAATGTAGGGTAACCTCGGTCTGCCTATTTCTGAATAACTGGTATAGGAAACTGATTACTGGTTACTACTATGCAGTGTGAATGCTGTATTCCTACTGTTTACTGGCCAATTGATGCAACGGAGGATAATGGTTGTCATCATGATACCTTTCCAACTTCCTCATGTCATAAACCTCTGCGGCGCGTTTTGGCATCTGATAAGCCTTCAAACTCAGGAAGGCGTCACTCAGACTCCCTGGAAGCAACATGTGTTTGTGTTTTTCAACACAGGATTGTTATTTGGTCTGAACACACAGTAAGTGTAAGGGGTTATGGTCAAAGTTGCTCGACAGAAAGATGCATGTTGGTTAGACAATCTACTTATTATGGTCAAACTCTCTCTCTCACTCTCTCTCACTCACTCACTCTCTCACTCACTCACACACACACAAAAACACACACGTCAGCATGGACATCCTCCCTATTATGTAGCTTTCATGTGTTTGTATGAGCATATAGCACCGCAGCAGCCTAAATGCGCTGCTTTCACATGCTCCAATAGCAGTGCACTTAACACAGGAAGGGAGAGAAATCTTTGACATTGACGTTATTGCTGCCATGGATCTCCATCTGTCTTTCTACTGCTGGAACACTTACTCTCATCCTTCCATCTACAGTTCCTTTCTCCCCCAACCCTTTTGCAATATGTTGTTGCTCTTCCCTCCATTCCCTTTCTCCATCTGCCCCTCTCTGATCTCCTGTTGCTGTTTGAGCATCAAAGGTGTTGAAGAGGTTTGCCATCTCACCTTCCTTCCCACAGATCCCTTCATCTTCTTCAAACAGGAAGGTGGAAAGGCTAACTGTGGGTTTCAGATACCTTCTGTTCTATTGCTCTGTCCCGCTCTATGTCTCTCCTTCGCTCCTCTGCCCTCTATTAGCAAAGTATCTTGACAGAAATGCTCTCTGGGTAGAGAAATGGTTGATCTTCAGATTGAGACTTACCTGACCTTGGCCCTCAGATCTACTGAGTCTCAATTTGTGTTTGCTAGTGTTATGTTGTGAAAGTGTATGTGAAATAAGTGACTTGCTTTGGTACATGTATTATAATCTGTTTCTATATATGTTACTATCAGCAATATTTACTTGAAAATTAGAATTTAAGGAGAGACGGCAAAGATTTTTGTTCTTAAATTTAAACTAATAGATATAAGCACAAAACTTTCCTAGTTGATTACTTACATTAAGCCCCTTATTTTTTGTCCTGTTAGAATATAGATAAGTTTGGTGTATGTACGTGCACCTTAAGTAGAGATTTCTGCCTCTGGTGTCTGAGAAAACAGCCTTTTAATTAATAGATATCACCATGAAACTTCCCCACTTCATTATTTATATTTAGGTGATTATGTCTTCTATTACAAGTTTGTGTAAATTATGATATAGCATGCAAGTGGGTTGCAAAATACCTTAATTTAGACAACAGTAAACACTAATAGTGTTACATTAAACAAAAAACTTTACTTATTTGAACAGATGAACAACAAAAAAACAGTTTCATCCTAGTTACAATGAACAAAGATCACATTTGGGTTTGTTAAACATCAGTAATCAGTCATTGCATTCTGAGTCTACAAACCTCAGTTCTTTCTTCTTCCACCTGCTCTTCCACTTTTCATCATGGGAAACATAATGTATTTTTTGTAAAATAATTTATAGAGATCCCACAATTCCCACCATAAGCAAGCACTTGGCGACAGTGACAAGGAAAAAAAACATTTATATTGGCCCAGTTGACTGAAAAGTAGCACATTTGGACAGAAAATGACACAGTTTGGCAATACTGGTAATAACAGGCTCAAATATTCCCCATATTCAGCACAAACACATCTATATACTGTATACAGCACGTATTAATGCATCAGTGTAATCAGCAGTGGGTTAGAACTTTATTTGTCCTGTTAGAGTTGTTAAACGTGTCCCAGAGGTGGTGTCAGAAGAAAGGTCATGAGGTCACTAAAATCAGGGATGCTGTGCATTACATGATTTTAATAGAACACTGTAAATATGGAAAAGCAACTTAACATAAAAATAAACATAATACTTTACATGTAAGTAGCCTGCATATAAACATGGACAGCGCTTTGTATTCAGACCTTATGACCACCACAGCACAATGTAATACAAGATGAACAAAAATAAACAAAAAACAACTGTAGTCACTGTTTGTCTTGACATTTCACACATCAAATCACATGTTGTTGCTGTGTAATTGTGTGTATATATATATATATATATATGTATGTATGTATGCATGAATGCATGTATGTTCTAAAATTGATCATTGTCAGTCTGCAAGTGTGTGGGCGATTAGCCATTAATTCAGGCAGCTGCTCTTCACTGTTTAAACAGACCCACACCCATACACATACGTTGTATGTATGATGAGTGTTTGCTGACACAGCGATGGACCAACACTTTTATCACTGAGGTTAAAGTTAATGTGGAAATCTTTTTAGATCTCCAGTTTTATTTTAATTTAGTCTGCACCTGTGGTGCTTCTGAACTGCCCCTTCAGAACATCAGCTGTCAATCAAACAGTGAATTCTCCCTTAGTTAGTGATAGATACCTCGTCTTTCTGTTACATTTGAGAAATGTCAAACATATTAGAATAAGGAATAAAACAGTGTGTAATATTAGCATTATTAGTACATTATTTATGTAATTGTAAAGGATTATACGGGATTATTGGACACACTAAACCCCTTGGGTGTGATGTTTCAGAGGGCCCAAAGGCCTAGACCTTACATGCTAAACATCAACAAACCCCCCACACACACACACATACACACTCCAACCTTTACCCTAAACCCATTCCTCATCCCTGCGAAAGTGGCCTCTGAGTGAATGGCCCCGCTAAAGGCTTTTTAATAGACTGCTTTGTGTGGGGAAAACTCCGGGTGACAGGGGTGAGTCACAAGGGAGACATGGGGGAGGGGGGAGAGAGAAACAGGGAGACGGAGTGAGAATGGCTCATTGAAAAACTAACTGAGCGGAGAATCATTGTTTGCTGTACCACTGATCCTTAAACACCGTCTTTGAATCCAATAAAGTACAATTACATCTTCATAAATAGATGTTTTTGCTCCTCTAACCTGTTTTAACTGACAGATAGATATACATTTTACAGTATAGATAAAACCAAATAACTTCATTTTGGGAGCACGACCCAAATATATTAGGTTTTTCCAGGGTCCTATAGGGTTTCAGATCTATCAAGCACAGCTTATAATCATGATTATTTTATTTTATTTTTATGGTTTCATCTGTAAATAATGTTCTTTATTAATTGATTAGCTGTTTAATAAAAAGATTCAGAAAATGGTGAAAAATATTAATCAGTGTTTCCCAAAGCCCAAGCTGACGTCCTCAAATGTCTTGTATCGCCCACAACCCAAAGATATTTAGTTTACTGTCAGAGAGGACTAAAGAAACCAAAATATTCACATTTTAGAAGCTGAAATCTGAGAATTTTGAAAAATGTTTTCTTCT